TCTTGAAGGTAAAGAGCTTTCAAGCACGAATCATTTTGACTCAATTTTGAGCTCTGTGCTCGATTAAATTACAATTTTGTGTTTGCCATCATGTTGCTACGGTATTCATTTCATCTTTATACAGCTTATGATAAACATGGATTTGGGACAGATGGTATTAAAAAAATATGAAAATAAAAATTACTTTTTCTGAAGAAACATGTCATGTTTTGTTTTGTTTCTTTCTAGTGTTGGGTTAAAATAGAAGCTTGCTAAAACTGACATAGGTGGTGTAGATGTTAGACTATAGCTCATAACTGAAGGGTCATGGGTTCTAGCTCTGTCAGGGGCCCAACGTTGTGTCCTTGGAAAAGGCAATTTACACAAATTTCCCCCACTTCTCCCAGATGGGAATGAGTACCCGTCTATAGAGACAAAAAATCGTGTCAGTTTGTTAGTGTTTGAGTACTTCATTGGCTGTAAGCACTGTATGCTTGCTGAGAAACTGAACTTTTTCTGAGTGTTCTAGGCTCTGCTTGAGTAACAGTTGTAAGGTGCCTAGAGTATGCTGCAGAGCGTGGATATGCACAATATAAATGGAATTATTAATATTATTACAACAATTGATATTATTTTTATTATTTTTAGAAGACCTTGAGGCAATTTCCCACCATCCTAATTTCTTCGAACAGTGTGGTACTTTCCTTTAACTTCACAGCCTTCTCTTCTACGATTTTCAACCACTGAGGGATCTTTAATGTGCGCAACGTGCAATAGGACCTCTGAAATTGTTTGTCCTTATCCTAAAAGACTAGATCTAAATATTCAATCTTACCCATCTTAAGATCAGGGGTGTGGAGGAAGAAAAAAATTGAGTGAGTGAAAGACAGTTGTTGTTGTTGTTGTTATCGATCCAGAGTGAAAGACAGTAAAGGCCCGGTTACGCGTTTTTGTAATGATAAATTTAACAAAAATTGGATGATCTATCATTTGCACGACAAATCGTTGCATGTAACCGCAAAATTATATAAAAATATGGATCATCAGACAATGAATTGGAGACCAGATTGAGAAATCAAGTGCAGTCTGATTTTTTTTGTGCAGTCTTGGTCAAATTTGAGAGAGACGAAAACACAGAATCCCTTCGAAATTTGTGGCAACGCAGGATTAAAGTTGCGTGCAAAATTTTTAAAATAATTATGGTAGTTAAAAGTGGACTTCAGCTTTTTGAAATCAGTGTATTAAAACACTTGACTCAAGAGAAACCTAGTTTGATGTGAAATATAAACCTTGGCAAATAGATCTATATCATTTTTCAATTGAAGGGTGGTTCGCAGGTGCTGTGGTGTAGTTTGCTTCTTCTTTCCTATCAAACGTCTATCGTCTTTAACTCCCCTCCTTTTGTTTTTATCTCTTGTAACATATCTAATCTTCGGCACTTATATGACCTTATTGCGTTGCAAGTGCAGTAAAATTATTACTAAAACTAAAAATAAACTTTTTCAATTGATTGCGAAGTCATGTATGAAGGTCACGTAGTGTGTTGCACATCTCATCAAAGCTTCTACTTAAACACTGCATGGTCACTCAGTCTCTGAGGAATATGGCGACTTTGGTCAAAAGACACTGTTCTTTTCTTTTCTGATATAAATAGAAGTTCAAAGACTAAAGTACCAGATTAAGAGAGTCAGTGTACGAATAACGTGTCATTTTGCATAGTTTAAACAAGATGCAATCAAAGATGTGTGATTTTTTAAAAAGTAGGACCGAACAATCTCAGAACAACATTCAAGAAAGAACTGACAAAAGCTATCGGGCAGAATCGGATGAATACAGGTCTATACTGCTGTAAGCTGACAAAACGTCTTTTTTTTAAATTCACAGCAGTTTTGAGAAAAAGTTTTTTTATCAGTGTAACCATTGAAAAAGTGCTTCCGAAATTTGATGTCTAATTTATTCAAAAACTAGAGTCTAGTTACAGTTTCACTTTTATTTTTTCACACAAGTAGGGAAACTGACCAGGCTTTCGATTTAGCAAATACAATTTTTTTGGCGCCAAAATGAAAAAAAGGCGTTTTGTCAGCTTACACCAGTATATTAATGTATTTCGCTTTGAAGCAAGTCTTGTGTCCATATGAGCCTCTTTTTCTTTCTTTTGTATAGCAACAGCACACTCAGTGCTAGCGAATGACTGTCGGTGCAAAGAGACATGGCAGCTCTCTGAGGTAAGGAGAATGAATCTCACCAATCGTGAGAGAATTGGATGATAGACTGGAATGTGTACATGTACAAAGACTACACAGTTCAATAAAACAGACAGTTCTTATACACGACGATTCTGATACAATTTATCATAGTGTGTAACCAAGGTTTTAGTGCATTAAGTGAATGGGTTCCAGGGCCCTATCAGCCCTGTTAGAATATTTAAGAGACGTAACCTCCGAATTTAATGACCACTGTGACAGGAACAAGGCAAAAGAGTTGAAAGCCTTGAAAAATCTACAAAACGACCCGAGCTTAAGGATGCTCCATGTGGGATTCGAACCACAATCATCCACTCCATAGTCCAGCATGATATCAACTGAGCTGAAGGAACACCCAGTGAGTTTGTTTGAGTAAAGAGAAGCAAATTGACACAAAAATGATTATTTAGTGCAGTGAAAAAGTAAGACAGACAGAATCAACAGAGGAAAAGTAAAGAAGTAGGACCCACCCGTGACGCCCTCCAACCACCCACTCCTAGTGAGCGACAGAAAAGAGTTCAAGAAAGTTGATTCATATGTTGAGCACAAATCGAACTCACTCATCATTTGCATGGCCTCACATCCCCAACAAATTAAAGACAAAGATCATAACTGTAAAGTTGATTTTATTCCAGTCACCTTTTACATCATCTTGAGTAGCAGCATGTTTGTATATAATCAACCCAATCTGTACATCATCAACAGAAACACACTAGTGTAGCACTTTCCTGCTCTTCTCTAATGTCACTTTTCAATCAGAAACAAAGTAAAATCTAGGTGTATACAACAACCCTAGCAATGCATTCTCCGTGATTGTGACAAAACACACTCCACACAAAGTACCACAAAACAAAACAAAAAAACCCGGTTCTGCCATTCAGCAAACATTTAACTTTTCTAGGAGTTGAGAAAGACATTACTACATCAGCACTTCACAGCAAACCTGAGAAATTTCCATCAAACTGACTTGCCCTCACACATATTGACAATGACACAAAGAAAGAATATATTATCAGTTATGAGTAGATTTTACTTTGACGTTAAAAATAATTTTTTTAAAACTTTTTTTAGTGCGTTTTAAAACCATCATCATAAATTGGATCATTCAGGAGGCAGACAGTTTTGACCCTGACTGCTGGGCCAATCCGGGCTGAAAGGGATACAAACAACCTCCCAGCAGACAGACCAAGATACTAAATTACTAAACAAAAATTTTCTCTACTCAGGAATTGAACTTAGATCTTCTGTGTGCAAAGGTGGAGTGCCTGACCGAGATAACACAGACACTGGATATTTCGAGGAGTAAGACCAACAATTCAACAGAACTTCTTTTTTTAACCCTCGCTGTAACATTAAAATAACCCAATGCAAAAGAAAGTACAGCAGGGATGTCACTGAGATTTTATAAAAATACTGAAAAATTTATGAGGTTGCATTTGCAAAATAAACGACACAACTATATGGGGTTAAACAGAAAACAAATGCTGAAAACAATCAAACGGATTTCAGTGAAATTAACTGAAATAACCACCTCCCCCCCCCCCCCCAAAAAAGAAATTTTTTAAAGGAAAAACCACATCCCAGGTATAAAGTAAAAGGCAACAGATGGTGTCGAGTATGTATTCAGAGATTCTTCTCGCAGTTTGAGTAAACACTTTTAACCAAGTATGTATCATTTCTCTAACATCTCTTATATTGTTATGTAAACAAGAGTCTGATAACTCCTAAGTGAGTTGAGTAATATAAACCTGTACCACACTGATGGTCAATATCATTGTTAAATGATTGCACAATGTTTTAAGCCCCCATCAACACAATCTAGATCATTCAGGAGGTCAGGTAGGATGCATCAACCCCATCAGGGCTAGCCTGGGCTGAGTGAGATCACAACATCCGAGTAGACAGATGGCACAAAAGTTAAAGTTGTTCCTGCATCCGATCCCGACATTGGGGATAGCCTTGTTAGTGAGACTTCCTGGACCTTCCGCATATTGTGGTAGGGTGGCCACAACGGTAATGATCGATAAAAACAAGACTTTCTCACCCATAAATCAAACCCACGTGTTTTGTGTGCAACAATGAAGAACCTAACCAACATACTACAGATGCAAGTACAGTTGAACTTGCTCGAACGACCACCTATCCAAGACTACCGCCTGGGACAAATGATCACTTCCAACTTCCCTCCTTGCATTTTTTAACACTAAAATGAGACTGTCTGTCAAAGAGGATCACCTGTCTAAATTAACAACATTTTCCCTCGCCAATGGGTGGCCATCTTGAACAGGTCTGACTGTCCTCACACAAAGGCACGGATTCTACATTTGAACTGAGCTTTTACAATTTTTAACAAAAAATATGGGATAAAGAAGAGGGGCGTACCAGGGGCAACATCAAACTTCCACTTACTATGACACTGAATTCATCCTAACAGACAAGCAAACAAGCAGAACTATTACAGTAACACAGTCAGTTTGTGTTGGGAAGAAGCAAGCTGTTCTCAGAGCTTCCCCCGGGTATCAGCTGCCAAGTGTAATCAGCTTATAGTTATGCATAGAACAAGGACGTGACACCTGCTGGTAACTATCAGCAGGTTGAAAATATGTACAAATATTTGTGCTTATCAGATGGTAGCCAATGTAGCAGTATTCTAACATGACATACACATCAAAATGAACAGAAAACTATAAAAATATAAATATCTTGGGGGGGGGGGGGGGGTCCCAAGAAAAAGAAAAAAAAGGGGGGGGGGGGGGGGGGGGGGGGGGAAATCGGGCCCTTTTTTTTTTTTCTTTCTTTTTTTTTTCTTTGGATTTTCAATTTCATTTCTCATCTCTCAAAATATTTCTGAGCAGTTAGGATTGACCATGAACAATGGGAGTCTCCTCAAGATGTAAAATGAAACTGAATTATTTTATTCACCCCTAAAGAAATCATATTTAACAATCTATCATAAACAAAAAGAGATAGAGCGAACAGAAAAGATTTAAAAAAGAAAGGTACGCAAGCATACATCATATTTTCCACCTCACAATTACTGCTAAAAAAAAACTTTGAAAGCATGCACTTCAAGCAATAACACTGTCAGCACTGTGGTAAACAGCTTTGTTGATTGATAAAGATCCTGCTCAACACTTCCAAGCCATTTCTTTGATTTTACGATATAACCGGACTAAACATTGTATGTGTAAAAATCTAAATTATTTTTTCATCACAAAACCTTTTAAAAAGTGGACAAAGAAAGTGTGTGGACGCACCTATGTGACCCTGTAGAGAGAGTTAACTCACTCTAGTAACCTTCACTGGATGTCAATATCACAAGAATAGAAAGTTTTACTTTGATTAGAGATGTGTGACTGTGAAGAAATACAACAGAACAGGAGGTAGTTTCTAAAATACCAGACATTTCCTTCTGTGATAGTCAGACTTCCAAAAGGACAACATGATGCAGGAGAACATTTGAAACCTCAAAGTAAACATTAGAACAAAACCATCGCTCATTAAATCAAAATTTGTCTTGACATATACAAACTCAACATATGCTTTGACTCACTAAGAAGAAACCTCTTACTCTCACTGCAAGTGTATGTCTAAACAAGTGTTCAAAATCACAGCAGCCCAAAAATGTGTACTTTCTTAAATTGATCAATCCAGACGGTATTTCTTTGATATGTTGCCTATGCCTCCACATACTTAGATAACACTTTGTAAAGACATTCATCAGAAGCTTTCCTGCATAGGTGAACATACATACATTCGTTTTTCGCCAGATGTAATCCTGCGACACCTAGATATGCACTTCCAGCCTACAGTTGAAACCATGAGTATCGACTTCCACTTGTCTTACAATCCCCTCCGACAATGAAGCACACGCCGAACCAAACATTGATGAGAATTAACTCTCCCATGTTCTCTTAACATAAAAAGACAGTGAGGAACCCTGAGGCTCTTTTTCTAGTTCCTCCTTAACCCCTTCATGATATCAACTATGTCTTTCTAACTTTTCAAAAAAGCACTCACGAAGCACAACTAAACTAACAAAAAAAAAGCCCCAAACAAAACTTTCATGTGAAGACAGCCAATGAGCTACAGTGATTTACCTGTATATATTTAAAACTTAGTCTATATTATATATATCTATTGACCTAGGCCATGTTTCAGCTTTCACAACAAAAATACCATAAAAAATCGCCAGCCTAAATACAGAATTGACACAAATTTTTCTCTCTTCCATTCATTATTCTAAATCTCTCTTCCATTCATTATTCTAAATCTGTCTTCATTCATTTCTGCATTCATCATATAGCTTATGGGAACAAGTATGCCTCCTTATCAATATATATCATCCTGAACATAAACATTGATAAAAGTCTATCATCAATACCACAGTGCCAATGAACATTGGAATGACAAGTCGGGAGAGGCACGTAAAAGCACTTGGAAAACGTCCAGCTGTCAATCAGTTGTGACTTTAGACTAGAGTGACACACTTACTTGTACACCTGGCACGGCAGAAAAAAAAATCTGTAAATACATTTTCTGGGTTTTCATAAATTCCAATGTTATCTGGCTTTTCCATTATAATTTATTCATCGCAGTCTATGTACAAGGAACATAGAGCAACAAATAACATTTATTTGGATCCAACTGAAGTAATAATAAGAACGTTTACTTATGGAAAAAAAATGAGTCCTCAAAAACCGACCTCAGATCAATCTCTTAAAAGTGAAAAAAAGAGAAAAAAATAAAATCATGCGGAGATTCAACAACATCACAAGTTAAAAATGTCCTCGAGATTCAGAGACCTCAACAATTCCTGCTTACTGAGGTAATGAAATTAAGAGTATCAGTTCCACAAATGGGAATTCTTGCACATATACTGATAGTTTCACACAAATTTTTAATAAAAGAAGTTTGTAATCCATACAGTAATTAGTAGCCATTGATATTCAACATATTTCACAATACGCATGAATTTTTGGATGTTATAGACTTTGACATCAACAAAAATGATTGTTTCCATTTGAGCAACTATAACAAAAACAAACTTTTATCTGAAACAACACCTTCACAGGAGAAACTCAAATTTGGATCATGGAAACATTAGCTTATTGCTTAGGGAACTTGATGGAAAAAATATAAAAAATCAAATCTCTACTGCTTCACGATGAGTGGTGACAAAAACAGCCTTTGGCATGTTCTTGAAAGTCAGCCTGATGGCATGGCACGCTAGTCTGAGCATTCAGACACCACCAAGTTTGTACATGCAAGTTACACAAAGAGGCTATACTAAATGGGGTTAAAAAAAAAAAAACCTTCAGGAAGCACAGAGTCAAATTACATATATATGTTTGATCCCTATTGCAATACTCCGAAATCGGGTTGTCCTACAAAAAAAAGGTATTGCGCATCATTTTTATTTAAATCTTTCTGTGTTGGAAGAGGCATGTAATAGCACTGAGAAAATGTACAATTTTAAACCTATTTTTATACTTTCATCTCCTGATAAAGAAAAAAGAAAAGAAAAGGTCTCCCAAACTTGGCGTCAATGAAACATGCCATTTAAAGCCATCAGCTGATTCTTAGAAGAAAGAAAAGATAAAGAAATAACTAAAGCTACTGAACACACGACATGATCATAGCAATATCTGATTGCTTAAAGACGATATTAAGGAAAAATTATGAAAAAGACCAAACATTCCGTCTGAAAGACAAAATAGATAAAAACTTTGATTTCAGATGAGGTATAAAGGTCAGATCATTTTCAAACATTCTTCCGTTCCAGGGTCAGAATGGAAATATGCTTTACAAGGTGTCTCAAACACAAAAAATTCCACACAAAATATAATTTCACCAAATTTTAAAACTCAACAATCCAATATTACAAGAATTGCTTCCATTGCATTCTTTTCCAAGCAACATTTGATTGCCACACCATAACAAAGTCTAAAATAAACAAGTTTTCCACAAAAACAAATGTTCACAATGTCCGAAGCTTGAGGCTCATTAAAAAAAACAATAGCACAAAACTTTCGACCAATTTAGTGCAACCACCAGGTTTAATTTCCACCAGTTGGGGGCTGAACTGGAAAAATAGGACAACTTGGAAGTAACGAAAAAGTGCAGGGCTTCCATGTAGGCCACAACTGCCAGTGCACTGACCCTTTCACATTCAACTGTCTTCAGCTGCTTTATCCACAGAACTTTTGCGCCCTGGCCCCCTCAGCCTCACGCAACACAAGCAACTAAGCTCTTTTTGGTCAACTGCTAGATTTGAACCACCACATACTGTCCGGTATGCTGAAGGTAAAGGTAGCACATAGTCTGGCATGCGCCCCGGTCCATAGGGTCCAAAAAGTGAATCTTCGACAATTCTTTATTTCTGGATTCGTTTTGATAAAACAATGGGGAGGAAAAACAGCTGAAAAAACAATCCCTTTTGATGTATGCAGGACGTCGGTGTGCATAGCTGCCTTGGGGAATTATGGGCTGCTAAACACGCTCCCCTCAGAGCTCACCCACTGGTTGACTTCGGGTGTACCCACAATCAACAGTGCAGAGACAACTGCAGCCTTGGTTATCCCTATACCTGTCATCATATTGTTATCAATGATGAGCTTTAGCCCTTCAGCCAAGTGCACTTGTACAAAGAGCTGAATGGAACATCTCGCAGAAAAGGATTTTTTGTGAAAGCAATTTATAATCATGCTATACAAAAATACACGCCAAAACCTAAAACGTTATGGCAATAAAAAACTACAACAGGGAAGGAGTCTTACTGATCTCACACTTAAGACTTGGAGGCTTCGAGGTACAATGTAACGATGATAGAAGCAGGACATTTTTCTACAAGAGAACAAAGAGGAACCACAAAGCCAAAACCACACGTCTGTTCTCTCAGTCATCCCAACAACTGAGAAAACAGCAAAGAGTGAGCTATACGTCATTATAAACAGGACTCTCAAGCAGTCAAGAACCCTGCAGGTACAAGCTATACGTCGTTATTTAAGCAGTACTCTGGGGCAAAAACGTCGGGCCAAAGTTAATGCTAGAGCAACCAGTCTATTCATCCATGGAGGGGTAACGCCAGTTTCTCAAGGGCACAAACGTTTCCTTGATGGCCTGAGGGGAAGTAAATCTTGCCATGTAGTGAGGCCCTCCTGCCTTGTCGTTGGTACCTGTAGCAGAAGAAAAGGGAAGCTCATGAGGGGGGAAGGAAGGAAGAGAAGAGGATGATATAAGGGAGCGGAAAGGATGGCATGAGAGAGAAGAGAAAAGCATGAGGAAGGAGGAGAAAAGGATGGTAAACATCTTTGTGCATAGAGAGGAATGGAGTTGGGGTAGACGAGAAAAGAAAATTGAAATGAGACCCATCAAGTTACCAACTGTTTCGACCTATTATCACAAAAACTATGCCCCTTTCAACATCATCTTATCAAAGCAAATGAGTGAGCCAGCTTTATTTGAATCCGACCACAATCAACACAACATGATGATGAAAAAATGAGTACGGACCTCTTCCTATTCAAGACTGAAACATTCTGACCAATGAAAGTGAAAGCAACAAAGGTTGAACTTGCATATCCTGGATGTTTTTCTACTTACTCTTAAAATGAAGCTACTCAATGTTCTAGTAACACCCACTACTTGTAACAAAGTGGTATACCCTAAAATCATCGCAGCAAAATCTGCAGAACATTTTCCATCATGCTTACCACTGGTAGAAGGTTTGACTAACTTGGACAATCAAAAACACAATTTGGAATTTTTATTTACAATTCTGTAAGATTTTTTTTCAAGTTGTCTTTAAAACAAAATTGAACATAAAGGTATCTCTAAATCAAATCCTGCTATTTCCATAATAATGGTTTGCCATCAGCATTGACACCAGTAAAATTAACAACATAGTTCTAGTACACTCGTGGCAAACAATATCACAAAAAGGTTGTATTAAAAGCTTCAACACAACAAATTCCAATAAGAACATGGTTCAATAAAACCATTTTGTGACTTTCTCAAGTGATCCAGCTCTCATAGCTGCAACGCTTTACTCAGTGACAAACATGTGTGGTGGCAAAAATGAACAACAAAGTTGACTTGTTTTTTCTGTCCTTTTTTTTTTCTTCTTCATTCACTCTCATTCAGCATTGGTGGAGTGGTGGTTAAGCACTTCACTGTCGCATGCAGAAGATATGAGAACAATTCTCTCCAAGAGAGAAATTTCTATTATCTCAGTCTTTCTAATGGGACTTTGTATGCCCCCTAGTCCAGGTTGGCTTTGGCAGGCAGAGTCGAAGCTCACCACCTGAATAATCTAAATTGTGTCAATGGGGGTAAAAAAAAAACTATCTTAGTACCGGTAATTTTGTCTTCAGTCCTCAAAACCTCCCACCCCCTTCTTTGTCCATTAAACTCACCAGACAACCTGGCACCACCGAACGGCTGCTGACCAACGACGGAGCCCGTACTCTTGTCGTTGATGTAGAAGTTGCCAGCGGCAAATCGGAATGCTTCGGACAGCTCAGCTTTGGCAGCACTGCAGACATTCAGAATGAATAGATAGAACAATGTCCTATATGTGTAACACCCTGCTTGTACTGCAACATATGATTTTATAAGAATGGATGAAATGTATAACACCACATGTATAAAAAAGAAAAAAGCATTATAAACAACCCATCACACCCCTTTTCCACACAAATTGTAAGATCACGCAGCGGCAGATATGTACCTCCAAAAACAAAGAAAGAAAGATGTAAAAGAAGTTTTTTACCATCTAGCATAAGGCTTTTGTCAGAATGAGCATAGATGTGTGTTGCTCTTAGAGTATGTATCTGTATATAACTCCAAAGGTCTAGTATTTAAATTCCTGCATGTGGTTGAATGATGCATTTGATGTAAATGTACATTTTGTCAGCTTTACTTCTCCTTTCATATTGAATTTTAATGAGCGTAATATATATGATTTAAATTTGTTTATGTATACCTGCATGTGTTTTTATGGTCCTGTACAGCCAAGGAAAATTTCCCTCTGGGATAATAAAGTACTATCTTATCTTATCTTATCTTATCTTACAGGGATGAAACACATGGCCAACAGGCTCGAGTAAAGTAAAAGGAAGGCAGAAAGGGCAAAAAGGCATTGGAACAGTACAACAACTATGACAGAAAGAAAGAAAGAAAGAAAAAGAAAGAAAGAACACACAGAGAAAAATAAAAGAAATGACTGAGCAAAAAAGATTTTTTTCAAAGCTCTGTGCAAGAAATTCCACTTTTCAAAGGAACGAAAGGAAACAAAAAAGAGATGTTGTACTCTCAAATTTTTTTTAGAGAAAAGGAGGGAGCAAAGAAAGAAAATACCACACACATGTGTCTAGGAGAATATTATGTCGACAAAGAGTTATTTCCCTGAAGCAGAAATCAAGGTGGGCCCATCTACTCTCACCAACCCAATTTGTTTTTAAAGAGACTTGAAAAGTGTAACAATGTCTCTTAATTTATTCAGTCCCTTGCAACACAAGGTCTCTCAGTCGACCGCATATAACAAGTTCCCACATTGATGGGTCCTAGTATTTGATATTACAAACTAATTCTCCAACAACCAAGGGAAAGAAAATATAAAACTTCCTTTTGCTGTTTGGCGCATTTCAGTTTTTCAATGCAATGTTATCTAACAGCCTCTGCCATTGTGGTAAAGGCAAATTAACATGGGCGTATTTGGTCAGAATGCATGGGCCAGGAACAGCTAAGGAAGAAGACCAGACAAGCAAACACTTACGCGTCCTCCACATAGATGGCACCGGTCAGTCCGAAGGGTGAGGTGGTCCGAGCCAGCTCAACAGTCTCTTTCACTTGGTTGTCAGGGTAAGCATAGACTGTGAGGACTGGCCCAAAGATCTCCTGAAATTGTGGACCATGACAGCATTGGTTATAACAGGCAGGTTTACGGGTTTAATTCCAGTTTACAGCATTTGCAACACAAATAGGTCATACAAGAGCAGAAAATTAGGGGTGCACCTAGAGGGTCCAAGTCTTCTTGTTGTGTTCATAATGTCCATTGGATTCCCCTCTTTCTGTGGTTTGTGGTCATTTTTATGATCCAATCAAAGGTAAGTAGAAACAAAGGTAACAGTAGTACACACCTTAGTTCCAGATGGCGGACCGATGGTGGTGATTTGGGAAAAATGTAGGCATGAAAAAGAAAAATTTTCTTGGGAGGGTAAACTGTTCAGAGTTAAGGAGGCAGGACTTTGATTCTGCCTGTGAAGGCCAACCCAGGCTGAGAGGTACACAATGTCCCAGTAGAAAGACCGAAATATGCTATAAAAATTCTCCCTACACGGGAATCAACATCAGGTCTTTTAGTTTTAGTAAGAGTATAACGGCACTTTCAACACAATAAGGTCATATTAATGTCGAAGATTAGAGGTGTTACAAGAGAGTAACAAACACAAAAAAGAAGGAGGAGAGATCAGGATGATATATATTTGGTTGGAAAGAAGGAACAAACCACACCAGAGCACCTGCCAACCACCCACCACCTCAGGTCTTCTGCATGCTATGGCAAAGTACCTCACCACAAACACCATAGATATCCTTCCCCTTATAAAGAACAACTCGACATCTACAACAAGCATATGCATAGTATATGTACAACTGAACTGCTGCTTTGCGACAAAACTCTCCACTATTTGAAATTCAGGGGGATTTTTGCTTTTTAGATTGGTCAATTTTTATCTTTATTGTTTCAAAACATTGCTAACTTTTATCTTCTTTGTTTTAAAATATCTTGTCACTAGATGTGAGGTTACCATTGATTTTATGATACTTCGATTCAGTTGTTTTTTTTTCTTCAACAGTATACAGATTGTAAAACAAATAATTAGCTTTTCCAGTGCGTTTCACATTCTGGATATGACATTTTGTGGCACAGCCATATTACTACAGGCACTAGGTCAAAGGGCAAACCATGCCAATAACAACACAAGACATCCAAAAAAATTTAAACAACAAGAAGCTTCTCTCTTACCTCTTGCATTATTCTATCCTGAGGATCTGTGGTCTCAACGATTGTAGGTTCAACAAAATAGCCCTTGCTGAAAAAGAAAAAGAAATTTACATGTCTTTTCACCATGGCATTCAAAAAGTAGTTAGTGAACCAAAATCTCGAAAAATACCAAGGAGAGAAAAATATACACCGACAAAATAAAGATCTGCAAAATGTCTGAAAAGAGAAACAAGACAAGCAAAGTGGTAAGCAGTCCTGTGGCCAGGCCAGTTTAACATGATCATCCGGAGTGCACACCGGAGCAGCATGAATACCAGTATCCTTCTATATACCTAAGGCATGCCACAGCGTGACTATCTCAGTGCACCAAACACACACTGGAATGTGACAACCTTTACTTTTCTGTGCACCAAACACATGTCAGGACACATCTAGCAGTCAATGTACAAGAAGTTAAGAAGGTTCAAGGATGAGGGGTAGGGTTCAAAGGGACAAAGGGATAAACCATTTTTATCATTTTAATTATTTAGTAGAGGTTTTACGGCACTCGAAACTGCATAAGGCCATATGAGCGCCAAGGGGTGAATGTCAACAGAAAAGTCTTTACAGGGAATCGGGTTTACTCTGCTCACCTCTCTAGCTTTAACAGCACAAAGTCTGTAAACCATTTTTTTAAACCAATAATTTTTATTCAGATAATAAGACAAGTAACCCAGGGAGATCAGAAGCACACACAATCCAACTGCCATCTGTGGTACAGTGGTCGGGCTCTAACTAATAGGAAGTTGTTAGGCACGCGTACGCCCGCCTAACACTGGATTGTTAGGGGCACGTAATTTCAAAGTCAAGGCCTTTCGGTGTTCCCAAAAGTCAAAGTCTTTCGTTCGGCGTTTCGTTTCCCATTCATTTCACCAGCGTGCTTGGTCGAGCAAAGATGGATTGGGATTTTAGGATTGAGACTCGTGAACTCATGACTTGATCTAATCTAAATTTTCTAGATCTCTGTCTTGTCGGGAGGGAGGGAGGGAGGGAGGGAGAGAGAGTGTATTTCTGAATGAAAAAAGACAGATACAGAGAGGAAAAGAGTGTGTGTGTGTGTGTGTGTGTGTGCGCGTGTTTAACAGAGCGCGCGAGCGCACAAACACAC